TGCATAACTTTGCATGTGTTGATTTCTATGAGAAATTCATATTTTTTTTTAAATATCTGGTTCAGCAACTCTTTGCATGATTTCTTCATTTGATGTCTCAGCAAAGCAAAGGAAGCTGCAAAAAACCCAAACTGAAGATAAGGCATTCACGATTCGCTTGATTGACTCGTACATTAGCTTCAGTGTCTCCAATTTAATATGAAGATAAAGAGCGCCTGTGTGGACTTTGAGGGACCCGGCTCCAGTTGCATGCTCTCCATCAGTGCAGATAATCTGCTGGCGTGATTAAGAGGCAGTGAGAGTGGCCGGGATCATATCACAGCTTCTTTGTCTCTGTCAGTGCAGCAGCGTCACGTAGGCACAGAGAAAGCGTGGATGTGAATACTAATAATACAAAACACCCATTTGGAGGAGGAAAAATACAATGAAGTCGATGACAGAAGCCCAGACTGTGGCACAGCAATTTGCTGGACTCATCTGTCACCCGGCCCACGTCTCTCGCCTGCAGCTTTCCTGACACATGACCCAGCACCTCACGTCCAGCTGTAAAGAAGCCGAGGCAGCCTCAAAATGTTCTCACCTTTTGTTGCATGTGTGAATTTTAAAAAGTAGTGCATGTGCATATGAAAAACAATGTACAGACTTGCACTGTTATAAGCATGTCCGTGAGTGTAACATAAATAATGCACAGGTGAGCTGCAAAATGTTAGTAATGACTAGTGACAGTGTAGTCACAGTGTAGAGGTCAGATTGGTAAACTAAAAGGATTTGGCACCACTGCTGCACTTCTCTCACTGTCATGCTGAAGATAACACCAGTGTGATGCTCTGTGGACTGATAAGACTGGTGAAAGTAAGGCATCACACGGACTCCCTGTAAATATATTAAATTAAATTTACTGCACTAATGTTTTACTCTACAGACCAACAATTTATGAATTATTTTCTTAAGACTTGGGTGGCTCTCAATAAGAAAGTCCTGGATGTAAATACCTGGAGTTTGCATGTTCTCCCCATGTCTGCACGGGTTCGCTCTCTAGTCAACCTCTTGTCCCATTACTCCCATCAATTTTCTTTGAAATCTTTGAAAGTTTTACGAACAGACAAACCAAACCTATTACATCACCTCCCTGACAGAGTTAATAACATTAGAATGCAACCCACATCCTCACTTGAACTTGTTACATTGATATAGATTGCATTCTAATCTGATTAACAAGGACGTTGTGCAATTGGTGTGGTTTGTCTGTTTGTTAGCAGAGGTGGGGCTCGATCTAGAATTGTGTTTTCATAATTGCAAGGATGGGCACTATTGGACATTTTGCCTAATATGTGAAGAAATGAAAAATAGGAAACATTGTTTGATGTCTTGTTGGGAAAATATAAAATAATCTTAATCCAGATGTCCTTCAATGTATGCAATCCTCGGTGCGTGGTGTGAAGGGAGCTTTGTTTTCCTCAGTGTAGGTATGCAATCTCATACTGCTCTTTTAGAGGTAGGTTTTCTTTTCCTTATTAATACATACAAACCTTCCCAGTGGCCATGTGTTGTGTTCTGCAGATCCTGCAGCAGGCTTGGCCCTTTATCGGCCAGTATCTGGAGAAGTTACTTGTGGAAATCATTGCTCCTGCCATCCGTACTTCCAGCATTCATCTGCAGACTCTGAGCTTCACCAAGGTTAACATAGGCGACAAGGTATCTGAGCGGCCTGTCACACACACACACACACACAGCAATTTCAGTTTGTTACAGTTGACTTTTTCTGCTAATGCTGTGTCATCAAGTCTCTGTCAGTCTTGTTTGCTTTGTTTAATAGCAGCTGCTGTGTTCACAGGCGCTGAAGGTGGCTGGCGTAAAGGCTCATACGGAAAATGATAAGAGACAAGTTATGTTGGATTTGTACTTAAGGTAATCCAACACATCTGCGATTAGTTTCATTCAAGTCAAATGCTAAAATGTTCTTGAAGTGTTCTAAAGCTTCTGCAAGGGCTTGAACAACAGAACAGTGTTTACTTAATACAGAATAAGAAAACAGCTCCGTCACAACTCGCACAAGCTGCTTCCTTTGTTTAAACACTTGTCTTTAGATCTGTCACTTCCCTTCTGTTACAGCTATGCCGGTGATGTTGAGATCAATGTTGAAATCAAAAAGTACTTTTGCAAAGCTGGAGTAAAAGGAGTCCAGGTACGAGAAGAATCACTGGGATACTCTCACATTGCTGCTGTAATTAAGTGGCCTGAAAACACATTTTCAGAATCTAATTTTCTCTTTGCAGCTTCACGGGATGCTGCGTGTGATCCTCGAGCCTCTGATTGGAAACATACCGCTGGTTGGAGCTGTCACAATGTTCTTCATTCGCAGGCCTGTGAGTGTTTTTATGTTTAATGACTTTGCACTTTGCAGTAATGCAAGGCCCTTTACTTATGCATGTCTATTTGTCTGTATCATGTGTGTAGAAACTGGACATCAACTGGACTGGACTTACCAACCTCTTAGATATCCCTGGATTGAAGTGAGTCTATATGCTGGAGTTGATCTTTATGCTCACTCGAGTTGCACGTTATGGATCTTATTTACACGTTTCAGAGAGGTTATTGTTTATTTAGCCGCTGGTAGTACCGAAGCTTGTCTTGGAATTAAACTGAACTCCAAAACAAACAGATCAGAGCTGAAGAGCCTATCTGTTCCCTGGCAGCTCTGTGTGGTCGCGTCCTTAAAGGATAATGTTGGTAACAGCTTCCGTTTTTATTCTTGTCAGCAAACTCTATGAAATTACAAGAAAAAAAGAGTAAATGATCCACTGTAGCGTATTCATCTGTTTCTATGCATATCCATTGCTATCCAAAAAACTCTTAAAAAAACAGTGTGTGTAGTTCTTGGGTAGGTTGACATGTTACTCCTCTAAAACAAACAGTGCATCTTATTATAAGTCATTCCTTCTAAGACGTTCCTGGTGCAGTATTCAAAAGTACTTATTCATTAACAAACTACACAATACATCAATAAAGATTTTCAACTACTAGTGCCTTCATTTATATTTGGGGGATTTCAACTCTTATTCTTGGAATTCTTCAGCAACAATCGGACAAAAATGTGGACAATAACAACCTGTACTGTGTGTAGTTTTATATAGAAGGCATCGTCTCACCAGTGGGATAGATTGTCAGTTCATATTCAGTGTGCTTATGTGTTTGCTGGCTTATTCTGCTCTGTGTGGAATAAACAGTAAAGTGTACTTTTGCAAAAAAAACCAAACAATAAAAGTAAACATAGAATTAAAGCATTGTCAGAGGCGTAAATGTATTTCTGATACAGCATCAGTATTCCCTTTGGCAATGCTTTTAATCCTTCAGTCTGCATAACTCTAAGAAATCTCCTCGTCTTTAAGCAGCGGGTGTTTCTGTTTTGTTCTGTTGCTGGTTTTCATGCTTTCTTTTTATGCATGGACAGATGCACATAACCTGTGTGTGTCTGTATGTGCCTCCCTGTGCGTGCCCAACATCATCCTTGCATTCATTTGCAGTGCCATGTCGGACACTATGATAATGGATGCAATTGCCTCCCACCTGGTGCTCCCCAATCGTCTCACTATTCCCTTGGTGGCCGACCTGCACGTTGCGCAGCTCCGCTCCCCTCTCCCAAGGGTAACTGTCTCAGTGACGAATGACCTTTTCAAACTACATAGACCGATGCAGATGTGTGTGTGATCGTCATTTTAGCTGCAAACACATAGACTTAAGGCCGTACAGTAAATATAACGCATGCCATCGAATTTTGTGGCGATACCAGTCGACAAACCTTTTGATTTTATTTTTGTATCCCTGTTTTGTTTTTTGTTTTTTTGCATGTTTACGCACACGCTAGGGAGTCGTGCGTATTCACCTGCTGGAGGCTGAGGACCTGACCGCCAAGGACACGGTCATCAAGGGCTTAATCGATGGGAAGTCAGACCCGTACGCTGTGCTGCGTGTTGGAACCCAGATTTTCACCTCTCATCACGTCGACAGCAACCTGAACCCGCAGTGGAGGGAGATGTATGAGGTGAGAGGGCTGCGCGTACGGAATATATACCCTGTGTAAAGAAACAGGAGATATATGGCTTTGCCTTGACATTGCAGCACAGCTCCTCCAACCAATTTATGTGCCAAAAGCTATAGGTTCATGTTGGTGTCCTTGCTTCGTAGGGATTGCAGTAAGTCCTTGATAGTAAGTATGTCACCGGTGCTTCTAAGATAAACAGCTTTGAGGAGATTTTATCGAGTTCTGCAGGAAGCTGCTGTGTCACAGATAAGCAAGAATTGTGAAAACTGCTTGCTCAGAACATGTTTATCTTTTCAATTCAAGCCATGAACTAAATAGATATGAAATTATATACATATATT